TAACATCAACATCGGGCATGGCAGAGAGGAGGAAAAAGCTGTAAATACAGCATGAACATTGCTTGGCAAGCTGTACTTGATTTTTTTTTAAGAGCTCATCCACACTTTCTCTTCCCTGGTTAGGGGACCACAAATTTATGATAACACAAGTTCCCACTTCCTCTCTAGCTCAAGAGAGAGCAATGCAGGGCAAAGACTCGCCTCAGCTCCATGCTTGCCATATGCTTGGAATGCTTGACACTGAATGAATTCCAGACTTCCACTAATGCTGGTCATGAGAAGAGGGCTCAGGCCACCCTGTCCTGCAGTTCCAGCCTGAGGCCACCTCTTGCCAAAGGCTCACTAAGCACCAGCCCATGAAATGATGGACTATTGTCCTTGGTGACGTTAAAGTGAAGTTTAAAGCAGCAAAGTTTACATGCACATTCCAGTAACATTTGGTGTTCCACTGGGAAATAGGCTTGTTGAAAACACAAAAATGCTCATCCAGAAGCACTGTATATTTTATTAATCCCCCCCACTCCATTTTTCCTTCAAGGAACTCAAGGCAGCCTACGTATTCTTCCTAAACCACTCGATCTTATCCTTACAGAAGGCCTGTGAGATCATGTCTTGGCACAAATGCAGCAAAAAACAAATTTCCAACAAAATCCATTGCTGGCAGTACCAATTATGCTATTCACTAACCCAGACATATTGATCTATTAGCATGATTTACATCTAGTAAAATGATTATCTTAAGCACAGATTGATGATTTGTCATTTGGTAGCTCAATAAAGATAAAATGGGAAACATTCCTTGGTATGGAGAGGCTAGGTTAACTTTACATTTGATTTATTTAAGTAACTGGATGAATAATTTTCACTAGGTAAGTAGGCTTTCAGATCCAAGCTAACACTTTGTTCAGTAGAATTTAATGAGGACTATTTATCTTTAACTGAATTGGCACCAAAGTTGATCACAAGATCACAAAGCTTTAATTTTAAATGGAAGCCTTCATCAAAACACATTTTGACCTAAATTGTTCACTGCAACCTTTTCATTAAAGCCACATTGCCTGTTACACTAATAAGTGACTATTTTATCCCACATTTTATTTCTAGCCCCATGAAAAAATAAGAGTATTATTTACTAACCTTAGAGATCTTTAAACCACACACCTGCATACAATTTGCATCTAGTAAATATGAACATTTTCCCCAGGATTGTTTTTAAATTACAACAAAAGTATCCTTAAAGGTTTTGTTTGACGTAACTAACATGAAACCTTAGAGATAAACTTCAAGTTTTATGTTTTGTGTGGCATAGGAAGGGCTGGATGAATGTTTTAGATGGACAGCGATATTTTAAAGAGTTAAGATTTTTACAGCTTTGTCCATTTGTACAACTGTCCCTTCTCTAAGTCTGCACATTGAAACTGCAGCAATATAATTGTGTCTGTTTAATCAGAGAATCGCCGCATTAATGAAAAACATGGACAGAGTCTAGCCCAGCGAATTCTATGGTTTCCTCTCCATTTCCAAAAGACCTTGGAATCCAGACTCCCTGTTCCACAACACATAGAAACCCCAATGCTGAACTTCCTGTCCCCTGTATTCCCCAAGGAAATGAAATAGTGGTATGCAGCCATTAAAGAAGTGCCTCTGTACCTTAGCGGAAGCAAACTTAATTTCCTCTCTCTCTTCACTTCATTGATCTCCGGCAGCTCTGACAGCACAAAGCCAGCCTTTCATTTAGGGGAATTTTGAGGGCCTGCATTTAATCCTTATTAGCTGACAATAAGCATTACTTCTAAACTGCATTTTGAATATGGCAGATACATTAAACATTACCTAAAACCAGAGAAGAGACAACAGTCCTGGCCAGAGAACATTTATTCTCCCGTGCCATTTACAGGAGAATTAGGAAGGAAATACATTATTAGACTCAACAAACATCAAGATTTAAATCAAGGTATAACAAAATCAAGGACTGGTTAAAATGGAATTACCAAAATATTAAGACTCCAAACTAGAAGTCTTGTCTGGTTTGTCACTAAGAGTTAATCTACAATAGTTATGAAATTGTTTCCCTTTAAAGCTCAAATGTCATTGCTAATTCAAGAAAAATGAAATTCCATGATCAAACAATTTGTACCACTTACATTAAAAACTAATAGGAAAATCAAGAGGTTTTTTTTTCACTTTGAACAATGAAAATTAACAACTCCTTAATGCACAAATAAACAAAAGGTCCAAATCAGTGCTACCTACTCATTTTCCCTGGTTGGGTAGCACCTTACCTATTTTGATCTCCACAGAAATCAGAAGCATCTATAATCCTAAGCATCTTAATTTGGAAATATCTTCACCTGAATCAGTTAGATTTCCTTGCAGGCAAATATTACAGGTAAATGGCACCATAACATCTTCCTTGACACAGTAGGAAGGGAGAGTGTTTAAAAATTAAAACTGATGAATGTAAGACAAGTCTTTGTTAAGCCCAGTTTAGGCAGTATGTATTAAGACCTCACCAGGTTCCCAGTCAACATAAGGGAAACCTTTTCTTGCCCCATTATTCAAAGGGTGGATTTTTTCCCCCTGGCATCTGCATCTGACCAGTATTTTAACCAATTCCGAATAGTGCCTTAAATCAGCTTGTTTCTGTCCAAGTAATAGTAAAACAATGAAGTTGTCAAATCTTCAAACAGGGAGGACATGGCAAAGGGCATTACAAGTCTCCTTTGCTCACTCTCAAAGATTCAGAAAAAGTCAAAAGCTACGATAAATGAAAGAGGTGGGCCAGCAATGCAGCAAGGATGCACTCCATGTCGAAGTTTCTCCCAAACAAACATGAATCTTCTGAACCCCATTTAACTTCCCTAGGCACTGATACATTTGAACTCTTTTTCTCTGCCTCCACATGGCTTACTTCAAAGTCCTCAAGTTCCAGTGAACTCTACAGGGTGGGTGAGAAGTTTCCCTTTATGCCCAGCACAGCCACTGTCTGTAACTCTGGCAGGGTATGCCAGGGCTGGGCATGTGTGGCCCTCCCGATGCTCTCAGACCACAACTCCCATTTCTCCTCACCATTTGATTACTCCATGTTGGAGCAAAAAATCCCAACTCCAAGCACAGCGTGATGGGATCTGAGTTAGCGGTGAATGATCAAGAAAGGTATCTTGGGCTTCTGGCCAACAGCTCAATGAAAATGTTGGCCCGACATGCAGCTGCTCCAAAAAGGCAAACTCCTTTTAGACATAATTAGGAAAGAAATTGAAAATATGAGTACACTGCCAAGATGGTACTACCCATGCACAGATCTTCGGTGTGACCACCGCTGGAATACTGTGTGCAGTTTCAGTCACTGCCCCTGAAAAAGGACACTGGAAAAAGTGCAGAGAAGGGCAACTAAAATAAGGAAGAGATTAGAACAACTACAACAACTGGAGCTGTTAGCAAGGGGGGGAAAGGCAAGTAAGGGGAGACATGGCAAAGGTGTTAAAATTATGCCTGGTGTGGAGAAAGCATTGAAGAAATTTTCTCCATCTCCCATAACACCAGGGCCCTGGGTCACCTCATGAAGCTGACTGGTGGGAGATTCAGGGCAGATAAAAGGAACTGGTTCTTCACATACCACATAGCAGAACTACGCAATTCAGTTTCATGCGATGGAGGGACGGCTTCTGATTGGAATGGCTTGAAAAAGGGAATGGTTGGTTTCGTGGGGGAGAAGGCCATCAATGGTTACTCGTCTTGTTGACTCCATCCTCGCATATACCAGTCGCGAGGATCAGATCCCAGATCTTCCATGTTCCCAGTCCAGCACACTAACCATTATCCCCTCCATCCACACGTGCACAAATACTCGCATCCTCCCTCCCATGTGCACTTATGGCCACTGCCTTCTCAGGGGTACACACGCACTGCTACCCCCCCCCCAGGTGCACTTCTGACCCCTCCCATCCCATGCACACCTGCACGGACAACCCCCACTCCGCCGGGCAGGGCTTGGGGAGACCCAGGTGCCAGCCCTCCCTCGGCCTTGCAGCTGCCCGGCGGCTTCGGCACCACGCGAGTCGCAGGCCAACCGCATGGCGGGGGAGGGGGCCTGGTATGCCACCCCTGCATGGGAAAACAAGCAGGCGATGCACGCATGCAGCAGCAGCATTCACACATGCAGGGGCCACAGCGCTCGGCACAGGGACTCCCACGCCCGGCAGGCGGGAGCCGCGCCGCGAGGCCCCCTCCCTCCGCCCCACCAGCTCCGCGGGGCCCCGGCCGCTCCCGGCGGAGCCTCGCCGCCCTTCTTCCCCGCCACGTCGCCCGCTGGCCGGCCCCGACCTACCTGCTGGCCAGGAAAGTCCGCCCCACCTCCGCCATCTCCGCCGGCGCTTCGGCCTGGCCGAGGGCGCCGCCGCGGCCCGGCGGCGGGCTCCAGGGCAGCGCCTCGTCCGGGCCCAGCGGCCGCGGGAAGTCCCGCAGCAGGCAGGCCAGGAACTCGCGCGCCGCCTCCGCGCAGGCCATGGCGCCGCTCGCGCTGCTGGCCGGCTGCGGGCGCGGGGCGCGGGGCGGCTCCG